TGCCCTGGGGCATCGGGGCCAGCCCTGACTGCCAGAGGAGAGCCCCCACCTCGCTCTCTGCAGCACAGCGCCCCCTAGAGGTTGCAACTGAACCCCAGTCGTTCCAGATGCCCCCTGCTGGATTCCAAGCATTGGCAGGTGGGGCCATTGCCATGGCAGAGTCTCCCAAATTCCCGGCTCCCTGTTCATCCCCGTTACTGCATCCCAGCCCCAGCGCAACCAGAACCACTCACCAGTAAGGATGGAGAGGGCCAGCAGCAGCAGGGCCTCCATCTCCTCCAGGGTGAACGTTGACGTGGGGCCTACAAGAAAAGGGAACTGGATTTGGGCCCGGGAAAGATTCCTATGAAAAGGTTTTTAGCACAAAGTGTGTCCCAGAAAGGCTACGGGTTGCCGAGAGAGGCTGGGCTGGGGGCTGAGGCAGGAGATCTCGGATCTAGTCACAGCTGGAGCCCGATGTAGGAGTTGCATATTCATTCTTTTGATTGCTTCAGAATTCCCAGTGATCCTGTGGAGGTTTGGCAGGTTCGTGTCCCCAGGTCAGGCCCAGGATTATGGAAACTGGGGTTCAGCTGGGAGCCCCGATGGGCACAGCTGTGACACTCGCACTTGAGGAATTATTAGCACATTTAGCAAAGTCACAAAGGCTCCAGCCCAGCGAGGTAGATTGAGAGACGGCAGAGTGTCCCTCGGAACCGTCCCGTGCAGAACAACCCAGTATCTTCCTCCTCAGCATCACCTTCCTCGTCGTCACCCCGGTCGTCACCCCCGCACCTCCCAAGGGCTACATCGCGCTCTCCTCCTGCCCGCAGGCTGGGATGCGACTTGTACATGACGTTACGCTGACATCACCCTGCCTAATGCCTGTTCCGTAGGGGTGTCTCCCCTCTTCCTTATGTGTATCTCCTCCCACGACCAGTGCTGGGGGCCTTCTCCCATAGGTCATGGCTCTCTGGTGGTCAGACAGCTGCCGATGGTCCCATGCTAAACTATCCGCAAGCTGGTGTTAGCTCCTGTTCCTGGTGTCGCTGTGGACAAAGCTCCCCCTTAAACGCCCTGTTCCCACGTCCCCAAACGTAGGGGTCACCGTTAGGCCATTTATCTGTGCCAAAGTTCATAGGCCCCAAGCCTTCTGCTAACTGCTGACGCCAGCGTCTCCCCGGAGACAGCTAAATGCTAAAGCTAGTTCTATGGGCTACACAACGCGGCCACAGGCCCCATGTGACCACGAGCAAGCCACTGCAGCGCTCCGTGCCTCAGTTTCCCCACCTGTACAAGGTGGATACAAATCTTACTTTTGTCTCTTTAGCCTCCAAACGTTTTGTGGCAAGGACTGTGTCTGGCTGTGCGTGGGCAGCGCCTGGCACAAAGGGGCCCTGATCTCAGCTGGGCCATTCGATGTGACCGTAACACGTGTGGTAAATTGTAATAACGACCGCGCAGTGTTTAGCTTTATTCAGCATCGCAGCTTCCTGCCTCACCGAGGAGAACTGAGAAGCTCCCAGACCAGCTGCTTACTGCTACGTTCATTGATCTGCCCATCTTAACTCCAGAAGGGACCGTGGTGCCCACGCAGTCTGCCCAGCCCAGAGACCTCCCGTCAGGGATCCCGGCCTCCAGCCCAGATCTGATGGTCGAGCTAGAGCAGTGCTTTTAGGGACGTCCGATCTCCATAGAAAGACTCCAAGGGCTGGAGACTTTGCCCTGTCCCTGGGGCAGTGATTCCCAGGGTCAGTTCCCCTCCCTGGGGAAAATCTGCCCCTTATTCCCAGTCTC